TGTCCTCACCCCATGCCTCATCGGAGCCTTGATGCTATCGACAACGTCCGACGAAGAGCTGTTATCTTTGCAGTTTTTGTCTAGTGGATAACGTGCCACTCCACGCGCAAAAAAACCTTTCCCAAGATGGATCGGACCTCGTCCGACCATATTACTCTTGGCATGCAGTAACTGCTTCAAATTGTGAGCAGTGCTCAGTGGATTCCGTGCCACTCCATGTGCATCACGGCGGCCTCGTCCTCGATGCCTCGGACCACGTCCGACAATGCCATTTTTGACAGGCAGCAACTGCTTCGATACTTGAGCAGCGCTCAGTAGGTTACGTGCCACGCCACGTTCAGCCCGCGAGCCACGCTCGGGACTCCTGTCCAGAACATCTTTGGTGTTTGACAGCTCCAATACTCCGTTATCCAGCACATTGACCGCCCCAGTCCAGTGCCTGCGCCAATAGCGCTTCCGCTTCCTGGCAGAGGTGAGTTCATGACTCATCAAAGCTCCACCAGGAGATGTACGCGTAGCGCCCAAGGTCTCCGACCTCCAATCAATCCATGGCTCACGGTGTTCCAACCACGCCATACCAAGGATAAGGTTATACCTTGCATTCAAGTCTAAGACTAGACATAATTCTACGCTATTAAAGTCAACGAACTTGACACTGAGGTCCACAGAGACCCTCGGCACAGTGACAAAAGTCCTCGTCGTTAAGCGAACAGTGACGGTGTCACTCAACCGCGCTTCCTGCGCCTCACATACACAAACTTCCTTCGATTGTGAGCGTCGAGCATAATTGCCCCACACCCCGGAAAAGATAAGGATTTTCAATGGCTTCTCAAAGCCCTTCAGGGTCGATTTGACGACAAGCAAGCCCGGCTTGCAAATACGTTTCGTGTGTAGAATAACGGAGCTCTTCGGGGATGGGCCCTAGTGCCCACTACCTCTTTGAGGCACAACAGAACTCAGCAATTCCCTAGAGTGGCGCCTCGCGCCTACTAGGGTTTGTCGTTTCCCCGCGACAATCCAGACTGTTAGAAGCGGAACGTCAGTTTACGAACTTGCAAAGCCAAAGGTGACGGGTGTCTCCACAAACAAATCACAGTCAGGTGTTTAATCCTTGCTCAGCAGTTCGGAGCTTTCCCTCCTTCTTTTAACCATAGCTGAGATCCATTGGATCAGGCCCGCTGGACCAGCTCTGATGGTGTTCATTCCATCCAAGTCGTGTTGATTTGAAGTTGAAGTCGGCATTTAATTGCTGCTACATTTACTGCTTCTTCAAAAGAAGATGGGTGCACACGGAAGACTTTCCTTCTGACCTCGCCAGTGCGGAG